TTTTTCCAGGTGTTTTTCATTCGCGTCATTGTTGTTTTTCATAATCAGCCAAATTCTCCCGCCAAGTCCCCGCCTCCGAAAAAATACCTCTGAAAGGACCTCTGAAAGATCTGGCTTTTCGTTCTACTGAAGTGCTTTTTAGTTTGAATTGCTTGCTCTCGAACGTTTGTAATGCCCTTTATGAATTCAGATGACGGACTCTGTTTATATGGAGGGATGGCTGATACGATCGAGAGAACGCGGCATGCATTTCCCACCTTTCAAGGTATTACAGTAAACATTGTGCTGTTTACTTAGAAGTCGCGGCATCTGAATTTCATATTTTTATAGTCAAAATGGGTTCGTCGGTACTTCGTGTTACGAGTATGTGATAAAAAGTTAGGAACATATGTGCTTGATGAATTTCGGAAAGAGGATAAAAGACGGCTAAGGAAGTCCCTTGATCTCGTCCGATGTGTCCAAGTGAGTATTTCCAACTACTTGTAGAAGTATTGATCAATTTTGCTTGTCAGCAGAGATCTGGATCATTCATACTTTGCGTCAGCTTTTCGAGCGTGGGCCAGCATTTTGAGCGTTTCGCGGGTAGTTTTGAGCTTTCTGCAGTCAGTCACTAAAACGATATACGCTCAGGCGCTAGACTGATATGTATACTTTTCTAGTCGCTTAAGACGTTCGGAACTTTCAAAACTTTGGAAGTATGAACGCACCCTTAGGATCTGATAACATCTTTTTCTTTTCAGATCGATTCTCATCTGCAATTAGCGGATTCTTCTTGTGCAACAACGTCTCGGTTTGGAGGCTTTCAGTGGATATTCTCGCTATATTTCACTAAAGGAACATCTTCTCAGAAGAAGACGCCACTATACTTCGTGTCCGAATCGGAAGAGGTAAATCTGACCTCTTGGTTTATCTCTTTTCTACTTCGTCCCTTACTTTTTGTTTTTTTTTGAGCAAAAATACGGTGTTGCGACATTCGTTTTTTTTGAGCAAGATACAGGCTCGATTAGTTCTTATGGCTATTTTAAATAATGGAAGCTGTGCAAGAAAACAGCGGGCTCTGTATTGTTGGGATGCGAACGCCACATGCAAATCAATTCCCAGTCTGGCTTCGTGTAGGCGAGGTACAACATCGCTGAGAGAATCCCATCACGGCAGAATAGCTCATGGTCGCTGCGGTGGGGGTGGTTATTAGCTTTTGGGAATTTTTTTCCCAGAGCGGCGAGAAGTTTTTTCGGTTTGCATCTCTTCGTGGGTCTTCGTTTCGCGTTCCATGCGCATATCCCTGCACTCAAATGCTGCCGCGAGCGACCGTGCGAATACAATATCTGATATTTGGAATTGGTAGTTGATTGGTGGAGGACCCCAGCCGAAACTGTCGGCGGCGTTCTTTTCCTGTAAATCAGGAGAAATTTTTGGAAAAATGGTGAGATGTTGAAAACATAGCAAGATGGTGGCTAGGAGGACAGGAATATGAGACGTTTGTGTCGCTAAATTTGTGAGGATCGTACTGCACTGTCATTTCACATATCACGATGTTGTACAGCATCTAAGTAATTCCCCAGCCAGCTGAGCGAATCTCGACCAGGAAAGGTCAACAGGTCAGCCTGGCCATTTGCAATGAGGTGCACATCACTGTACTCGCCTTGAGACGGTAAACTCAAAACAATCTTCAAAATTTGCAGAACGATCCTCTGAGTGGAGTTATGGAGGTTTTTTTTACTGTTTTTCTTCTTCCGAGCGCGCTGGCGCCGAGGCGTTGGCACCTGTAGCGGGACCACAGCGCCTTCCGCGCAAAATAGGTGTCATATTCCTGTTCAGGGGGTCATAACCCTTAGACACGGTAGCTTGGCGGAATCTGAGGTTCCGACTCAACTTCGAAAAAGTGGGGTATGGATAGTTATGGCTGACTGATAGCCACCAGCGGTACTACGACTATCATACTGATGATGACTGATTTTAGAGCTGAAGTAATTCTTAGTCATGTCTTTCAGCACTGGCTCACTGATTCGTGCAGTCTGCATCATTTTCCTGACTACCGGTAGGGAATTCCAACTCGAGACTAGTCATCGATGGGGGTGAACCCATCCAGCGGTCAATTACCCATAGATAGCCCACATTTTCCAAATTAGGTCGAAATATCAGATTTGGCTAAAAACTTGTCTCCAGGGGATTTGACACGCTGAACATGAATATCATGGTATTTTACTGCAAAAACACTTTGTGACATGTGTCACGAGGGGGACAAAGCACAAACACTCTTCAAGGCCACAATTGGTCTACACTTTCAAAAAAAGTGGATTGCAAAGGTCCTTTTAAATAGGAAAAGATGGCAGGCGAGGCAGAGATCTAGAAGTTGTCAACGCGTGTCTTGGACAAATGCAAAAAGGCAAGAGCTGCCTGGAATCGATCCGACGACGTCCCGACTACGAAACCCACTCGCTATCCGTTGCGCTCTGCTGCCACGTGTCGTAAAGACTCCATTCATTTATGTAAAGACGTTTCCACGTTTCGTCGCGATAGCATGTAAAACAACCAAGAGGGGAGAAATCTCTCCATAACTCCGCTCAGAGGATCGTTCTGCAAATTTTGAGGACTCCGTCTTCTAGACGGTCGCCCAAAACGCGTTGGGTACGCAGTCCTTGAGACGAGTTCACCGTCTCAAGACGCGTACAACGGTGTGCATCTCACTGGAAATGGCCAGGCTGACCTGTTAACCTTTCCTGGTCAGATGCTTTGCTTTCTCATGACCCGCGTAGACTTTCATTCGTCAGTGATCTCCACCGCGGCTTCTTAACCTTGGAAAAATGTTGTCATAATAGCTTTTTTTGCCAAAGGGTGGCCTTGTGAAGGCATTCTTCCACCAAATGAAGCCGGCAATTTTTTGCCATCAGCATTGGAGTAGGGCTTGCTGTTTCTCTTGTTTGAGAAGGCCACGGCTGGCTGAACCATTTATTAATTGCGAAAAGCTGAAAGGTGTTAACTTTCTACTCGGTCAGAACCCATGTTCCCATAAAGATCACACACTACTACTCTAGCGCTGCTGGCAAAACTACAGTCTGACAATCCGAGGCATATAACACCGGAGCTGCCTTTAGAAGAGCATTGACTTTTGGGAATCTGTGGTAGCGGAAATTACTATGGGATTCGGATATGACCTATCCTAACGGCGGTTCCAGACTTCACTTGACGGCTGGTACAGCAAGATCCCTGCAAACGTATAGGGCGTGTGGCGGTGGCGTGGATTGTAGCGCTGATCGAACTATACCCATCTTTTGTCTAATGAAACTTTGTCTTAATTCAAAAAAGTCGCAAAACTTACGCTCAAGCGTTATTCAAAGCACTACTCGCGGTCATCCCTCAAGCTGGAAGTGTCGTCGAGAAGGAGGCGTTTGCACGCATTCGAATCCCCTGCTGAAAACGATATCAAAATTGGAAATAAATTTCCTTTATTATCAGGACGGATGAGTAACCACTCTCTCCTCTCCCTTAAAGACAGCCCTGAGTAGTACATGGTCGTCCTTCCTTGTGCAAGTAGCACAGCCCCCTGAACTAGAGACTATCTCACTCTCGCGACTCCACAGCGAGCGAAGAAGCGAGCTACAGCTGCTGAAAGTTCTAGTTCTAACGCCCGCCCAGTTGGACCGCCCACTTGCTAGATGCCCTCTGACGGAGGGCCGCTCAGTTGTTCTTTGTTGGGGCGGCGGGCATTAATCGGAATTGCATGCCCTTTTTGCTGACCGCGCTCGTGCCCATGAATGATTCTGCTCTCCTTTATTACATTTTATTTATTAGGAGCACATACAGTCAACTCCAACCCATCTTGCAAGGTAAAACGCGTAAAAATCACGAGCGACCCAATTTTCGTGGTGCAAAAGCTCGACGCACCACACTACACTAAAAGATGCACGCTACCGTAACCCTAAATTGCCTAGTTTTTGAAAGTTTCTTTTCCTTTTCAAGAGTTTTTCTTCCGTGTTTTTGTTGTTTTTCGTATTCTTTTCATTGCATTGGATGATACCCACTACTGGGAGATGTGATAAAGGAATTTGTGAGCCAGGGGTTGCACAGAGACCGCAGGCGGTGTGACTGTCAGGGAGCAATTTTGTTTATGGTGTTCTTGAGGACTCTTCTTGCTTTTTTCTTCTTTGGGGAATTACTTATCAGCTACTGTTTCATAATTGAACAGCAACTATCCATGACACTTTTATCGCGGGAGCTGTCTTTAAGTTCGTTTGTGAAGAATTCTGTTGAGAAATCACAATATGTCAAAAAATTCAGAAAATGAAAGACTGGGTATATAGCCTTTGTCGTGCTTGTCGTCTGGAAAAAGAAACCGATGACGATAGTACTTCCTTCATGCAGCAACATCCTGCCCATGTTGAAGGTGTGTAATTTCATTATTTCTCTGATAGGTTTGGATTCAGTTCTTTTTACGTTGATATTAGTGACCATCTT